ATTTCTTGGCACTCATCTTCCGAAGAGTTCTGAAGAGTTTCCTTTTCTTCTACTTGAAAATATCTAGTGGTGCCTCAGTGAGGAGTTCCTGGGGCTGTGGATGCTGCTCAGCCCTGTCTGCAGACCATCGCAGCCCCTGGGACCACTAGTCCATGTGCAGTAACAGGACTCCAGGCTCATCTTTGTTTCATAAAGGAACAAATGACAGAGAGGGGTAAACATTTTTATTTGATTTGACCCCGTTTGGTGTATTTTGGATAACTCTTCCCTCTCCCTGCAACTCTCTGGAATTCCCCAGATGGGAATGAACTTTGATAATTTGGCCTATAATGGGGAACAGCTTCAAAGCTGGGCTGTGTGGGAATGGTGTGGGTGAAGTGTAAGCTCTATATGGAAATTGGGATCTTCCCTCTGTTGCTCTTGCCTCAATTCCTACCCATTTCTCCCCTTTTTTCCCATGTGAGCTTCTCTATGGTCCATACAGAGATTTGTTCTCCAGCTTGACCATCCTCAAGGTGTCATTTTGTGCCTCTGAGTAAGTTGAAAGAGGTTCTATCGCTTGGCTTTTCTAAGAAAGTCTTCAAGGGTTTACCTAAGGAAGCATGCCAGTACCTGAAGGGGCTGGCAAGAAAGCTGGGGGGGACATTTCCCAAGGGCAGGGAGTGACAGGACAAGGGGTAACGGGTTTAAATTGAAAGAGGGAGATTGAGATGGGACATCAGTAAGAAATTCTTCCCAGAGAGGGTGGTGAGGCACTGGGACAGGTTGCCCAGAGAAGCTGTGGATGCCCCATCCCTGGAAGTGTCCAGGGCCAGGCTGGATGAGGCTGGGAGCAACCTGGTCTAGTGGAAGGTGTCCCTGCCCATGGCAGGGGGTTGGAACTAGATGGTCTTTAATGTCCCTTCCAACCCAAACCATTCTATGATTCTATGAAGGTGATTTTGAGACCTACCTTCTTCACTGAGGAATAGGGAGATGGGTGTTTCCCCAAGTACAAAATGTTGTTCATGACTGATGCAGCCACAGGCGGATTGTCTGGGTTCCCCACAACAGGAGCTGCTGTAACCTTGATCCCGCAGACGTGCCGTCATGAATTGTGGCAGTCTTGTGTAATTTAGAGAAAATCTTACCCTCAGAATGATGTTTTTGCGGAATGAAGTCGCCAGCTGTGTTGATTGGAACCGCACAATACGCATAAGCCTCTGTCCCTGCGTGCGTAGCTGTCTACAGTATACAAAAGGAGATTCCCCCGTTCTGTATAATTAATTTACAGTGGATGTCTCTCTTCTGGTGTGCGTTTGAACTCTTTATTCTTTGTTCATTGTAAAGGGCTTAACGGTTCCTGTTCCGTGATTCTTTCATCGGTGAAATGTTTTGGAAGAGAGGTTAGAGTCCCCCTGTGACCTGCCCTGGGTGGCCCAAGCCTGTAGACCTTGCAAAGACATTACTTTTTTGGCCTGAACACAGGGCTCTCAAACCTTTAGCCTGGCTAAATGCTTTGTACAAACAGCCGCATACTGATCTGCTCTATTCTCTTGTGATTTTCTGCTCAAGGGGCTGAACTGTAGGTGGCTTGCTATGTTTGCCACTTGCCTTGGTCGTGGAGACGGTACAATAAACGAATCCGACAGTACTGAGGCCAGCACTGTGCTTGGTTGTTCCGAGAAAATTATCCTGAAATCTGGTTGAAGAGATTAAAACCAAGAAGAACTGGCTGTGTCTTTCCTCTAAAGCTCTGTTCTCTTCTTTGTTTCTTTTTTTCTTTAAGACTTTGTTCATCCCTCCTTGAAAATGAGTTTGTGGCATTGGTATGTAAAATGTGACCTACGATTAGAGAAGGTACAGCTATTTTTGTAACAACCGTGGGGTGAAGCATTGCATTCATTCCTCTTCGGGCTCCTCACAGCCAAATGCTGTAGCAGCTTTCTTCCAGTCTCTGAGCCGTATTCTTCATCTCATTTCTTCTGTAATAAAAATAATACAATCTCTTACATCGTTTCACTTCTTGGGTGTCAAGTGCGCTGCTAGTGCTGTAGAGCCTCCAGTCCGTTCTTTTGATGAGATTTGTCCTTCGACCAAACGTTGGTTCCACGCGCTGCCGTTGTGGTAACGCGCGGTGTTACAGCGCCGCGTCCCTCCGTAACTCTCCCAGCCTTCCGCCCGTACGGTTCCTTAGTAAGATACAGCAGAAGGTGAGCTGCTAGCGAGCAGCCACGTCTTGGAATGAAATCTGTCTTGGGTTGCTCAGGAGCAGACGACAGTTGGGATAAATTCACGAGTCTTGTGAAAACATTCAAAACCCAGTCACAGGCATTTTCTCATGAGGATTTGAAATTCAGGCGTTCGGGAAGATTCTAAATTTCACAACTCCATGTGGGCTTTTAAATAGATTCCTAGCAGCTGTGAAGTCCTTAATCCAAAATGGGAATTTTCATTCATTGCAGTCCTTTCAGGGTTTCTATTTTCTAGTGTTTCTCCAACTATAATCAGTAACATGATGTGGCTCCATCCTTAGAGGGTAGGATTCAGCCAGTTTGTTGGGTGCCTCAACCCAGGGACATTGGTGACACGGAGCTGCCCAGGGCAGTTGCATCCCTTGAGAGGATGCTCAAACGCTAGTTTGTTTATCTAAATACTTTTAGCTTCTCAGGTACGTGCTTTTTCAAAGTGGGGGTGTTTCGGGATTGATGTAGCTCTTGGGATAATTTTTCCAGATGAGACGGTGGGGTGTACAGCGAATGCGTAGATGATTTATCCCTTGCTGATCAGAGTCAGAAAGCTTGTGTTAGCCCTCCCTTGTGTGCGTGCTGGCTCAGGCAAGCTGCTGTCAAATTTTATAGCAAACGTACATTAAAATGCCTTTACAGTTAGAATTAATTAAAACAGTTTTTGAGGGTTAAATGTAAATTCAGTTTGGACTATTTGCAGCCTAAATACGGCAGTGTTGGTCAGTGAAACTGGCTGGAAGCTGAGCAACTCCTGTCTGTCCAGTTCCATCCTGAGCAAAAGTGGCCAACAGCCCATAGGCACAACCATGGATGGTTTCTGTGGCTTTGATTCATGCTTTTTCCTATCCAAAATCTAAATGTGAACAATCACATACATACTTTCTTTCTCTTTATGTTCTTTATTATTCGTTTCTAGTAGTAGCGTTGGATAAAAGTAATGGTTTTACAGCCGTGTTGGTTATTGTCCTGCAGCGGTTTGCACTTGAGTGATGACTGCAAAGATGAGTGATTGTTTCAATCTTACAGCTCTTCTGACATCTGAAAATATTAAAAAGCAAAGCTGCGGATGTCTGAAAGCTGTCCGCTGTGCCCCTGGAGGTACCTGTGTCTGTATTGAAGGATGATCTCGATCCCAAGTTTTCAATGGCTGTTGGAGCAAGAAAGCTGACAAATAACCCTGCTTTGGTTTCCAGAAATAAGGCAGCTGAGGAACAGGGCTGAATCCTGATGTCTAATTCGTTAGTCTGTTCTCGTTAGAGCCATGGGGACTGCTCATATGACCGGGCCGCTGTAGGAAGTCTTTAAAACTAGGACTGTGATCACTGTTTTCCTTCTTTTGTGACATTTGCTTGAAAATGAGATAACTTTTGGAAGGAGAAGCGTTCAAGGGGAAGACCATCTCACATGAAGTGTCTCTGCTTAGCATTTAAGGACAGGACAGGCTTTCTCCTTTAGTACCTTTGTGTAGTCATGGAGAGAGAAGACAAAACCCTCCTTCCTTATTGCCGGGCCATCCTTGGTCTTCAGGAGCTGTTTCGGGGGTTCCTGTATGGTAAAAACCAGAACAGTTGAACCATCATGAGCCACATGTCACTTTAAAATCTGCGTCCTGGTGTATATTTTCCACTCCTTCTTCCTTTCAGCCATCACGCTCAGTTGCATCTCAAGAAAACGTTTCATTTCAGCATGCAGCATCTTCATTGTCCGCAGGAGCAGCAAAATTCAGCCGAAGGCAGAAGCTCCCTCTTGGGCCTTTCATGGTATTGAGTTGTGGCTTCACAAATTAGGTCCCCTCAGTGATGAAAAGTTGCATCGAGATCAGAGATAAAGCCGTTAGTTGTGTAGCTAAAGAGGGTGAAAATTGAGTGATGTTGGGCAAAATCAACCTCGGGCATATCTTCAAAAGACACTCTTGGATATGTGGAGTTGTTGGCTTCGGGAACGCTACTGAGAAAAAGTTGTTAAGTGACATGGAAGATCTAAGGTCTTCTAACGTGGATCCATTCAAGTCCCCTTCAGTGGTTTTAGACTTGGTTTAAATAATGGACTAGAAGAAAAATAAATGACTTAAGTATGAAATTTTGGCCAGATTACACTGGAAGGAGGTAAATGTGGCCTTGGAAATACTCTCTTCGCTTTAGAAGCCAATGTTATTCAGTTGTCAGATGTCTTCATCCAACATAAATAAATATGCCGCATAATGGCCGCGATTCTTCCCATTTGGGGTGACTGTACGCTGGCAATAGCGCACCATGCAAGATAATACAAATAATCTGCTGCCGAATAATTAATGATGCGGCTGGGCATATTTTTTTGATGAATGCTTATGGAGCCTGGTGACAGGCGTGAAATTAGAAAATTCCTTCAGCGCCCTAAAATATAAATAGCTTTCGGAACTGAAAAGAGTTTCACAGCTGAAGATTTTATTGTGTTGAGAGGAAAAACTTTTCCACCCCCCCTCCCCCCCTTTCTTCTCGGCGAGTTGTTTGTCCATTCACAAAACAAATACTCTGAAGCCCAGTAAGGCTCATGGGAATAAATTTCAGGTCGAATTAGTACAGTTTCCTTGCTGTCAGGACGGTGGAATTAATGGTGTTTTGATGACACGAATTTTGAAGGGCGAACAAAGACGCTGAAGGGAGGGAGACATGACTCCTTAGAAGCACGGTCCTCCTCTCCCCCAGCCTCTCTTGTCTTCCCTGTCATCCGTCTGCCAATCTCCCTGTCCATGGTTAGTTAAAGGCGCTTTTTATCCTCTTTTCTTTCCCACAGAGTTTGCCAGATCCGGCCCAGTGCCTGGGTTCCAAGGGGACACGCTGCAGTTGGCCTTCATCGACTTGAGACAAGTAAGTCTTTGTGTTTTTGTTTTTTGTTTTTCTTTTAAGATGTGTGACTGAAGACCATCAGGTCTTAAGGAAGGGGAGAGGAGGGGAAACGGCGTCGGTGATTTACGCCAGAGACCTATATTTCCCCCCTCCTCCTCCTCCCTGCGCTCGAAGCCATCTCCTTATTGAGCGCTCTGGGGTCCTGGAGATGGTGGAGGTGAAAAGGGCTGGTGGTACGGGGCCGAGAAAGAAAGCCATGCCTGACCCTGGCCGATGGGGTCCATTGTGCTCCCGTTGGCTTCTGCAGACGCGGCAAAAAGATAACTCGGCGACTCTGCCGGCTGACGCCAAGCAGGTGGTGCTAACAGAGAGAGCAGTGATGCAGAGACCGCCTGCCTCGGGGACTTTTGTTCACAGATAATGCCCACAGAGGCGTTTTGCGAGGGCAAAGGAATTTGCATTCGGGCTTGTGTGGGGAGGGTAGGAGTGTGTGCGCGCCCGTTTGTGTCCGTCTTTGGCTTGGCTCTTCGTCTTTGGCTCGGCTCTCCCCCTTCCTCAGTCCCCTCTTCCGCAGATGGTCCCCAGCCACGAATGACAAAGTGGCTGTTGGGGAAGATGACTGGGGAAGGCTCCACCCATCGGTGCCCACCTCTTGAGGGGGCCCCGTTGGAGCCAAATTGACCATAGCAGGTACAGAGGCATTTGTGGGGCTTGGCAAGCCAATTTAGGGAAAAGGGCCATTCTAGCGAGTCATTTGTTTGGGGTAGAAATGGGCATTATTGATACACTAGGCTGGGGGGGAAAAGTGAGGTGGTCCTGTCATCTCTTGGCACTGAAGATGGATGGGTTGGATAGAAAGTCTGAATGAAGTAAGACTCAATGACTGATGCTTCTCTCCTATTAAAACAATCTTTTTTTGTCTGTTAAACCCCCCTGGCTTTGTCCCTCCTGCCATCATGATGCAGTGCCTCTTGTTTTCAGGGTTGACGTAGTTTGCATTCTGAAAACTTTCGGGTGCTGAGGGTATTTCTTAAATCTGCATAATCCCTTGTATCGATGATCTCCTTACCACTGGGACTCTTGATTCATGCTGGAGCTGCTTTTAACCCATCAGGGTTTGAGAACTTCCCTGAATCAAGTTGATGTGCAGGGAGCAATCTGTCATCCCATGACACTTCTGCGGAGCAGCAATAAGTTTAATAACGCTGAGATGCTGCATGTTCGCTTTTCGCACTTGGGCCTGGGAGTACCTGCTGAATCTATTTGCAAAATGGTCAAAATAGTTACATGGGAGGGATGTGTGTCATCACTGCTACGTGTTGACACTTTTATCTTCATTAGCCACTTGGCACTTTATTGACCGCAGTACGCAATGTGCTCGCAACCTCCTGGGTACAAGGAAATGCGGAGGCTTTGGTCCTTTTCCAAGCACGAAGACGTGAATGCAGGGGTTTTGAAGAGGAAAGCTGTGACTGGTTGAAGAGTGAAATGCCTTAAAAATGCTCGGTGAGGTTCAGCTGCCCTGAGCCAGTGCGTTAGCAGTGAAACGTTTGTACGGTTCGTAAGCGCAAAACACCGCCGAATGAATTCAGCCCGGGTGAGGAGAAAGCTGAAGAGTAGCCCTCTACAATTCTTCCTCCTCTGTCAAATGATCGCCTTTGTACATGGCATTTTTGTCTTTGTTTGGGAAGGTAGTCCCATCTTCTGCATTTAAAAGTAATAGCTTTTCCGAATGTTGTGAGGAGAAAGGGGAGATGCTCTGGCCTGTTGCGTTTCAGGTGAGGACAGGCAGTCCTAGGTCATCTCCTGGATAACAGGGATGCTTGCTGGTGCTGAGTGTTGTACAGGGAATGGACGGCATCTCGTTGCTCTAAGTAGAGAAGAGTCCACCTATCACTGGCTTACTGGGATTTGCAATTAACGTGCAAAGATGACATAGTTCCCAGCTCCCTTGATCCTGTTAGTGACTTAATCCCGTGACGTGTCACCAAATGCCAGCTGTGTGAGGCTCCGTCGGCTGCTCCGGGGCCATCGCAGCTCCGATGCTCCCACCACCGTGGTGCTTCTCGTTGGAACTGCTGCTCCAGCTGCGAACCCTGGCAGCAGGGGACAGCTGGAGGGGTGGATGGAAGAAGGTGCGGCAAAGAGAGGGCTTTAATTTGGTTTTCGACTTGTTCTTAATTTGCTCTTTTTGGACATGCACTCTTCGTGTTTTAAGACACTAAACATTAACACGGTATTGACTTAAAGTTGTGAACGGAGAAAAAGGTACTGCCTGGAGGCGTTTGTGTGTCTGGCTGTTTTCCTTCGCCCGGGAAGGAACGCCAGCGTCGCTGGTGAAGGGATGTTTCCAGCCTGAAATCCAGACAGGCTTCTCAAAATGTTAAAAGTAATTTCAGGTTTCTATTTCAGGTAGGTTTACACTTACCTCGGTGCTGTCCTGCTAATTACTGTGGCTTTGCACGAGCAGGCAGAAGCAGTCTGGCTGGTTATGTAGGGAGGAAAAATGACCAGGCAAGAAATACACCAACTAAGTAGGGTGATTAATGAGATCTCCCCCTCCCTTTCCAATATTTTTCAAAACTAGCTGTTACAGAGCAATTGTAGATGAGAGAAAATTTTCAAAGTAATGTGGGATGGTTATGTTTAGGGGAATGACCAAAATTAATTCTTAGTACAATATACTGTAAAATGGTAGAAAAATGTGGTGATTTGGTTTCCGTCTTGATTATAGATCCCTGTAATAGAAAATAAGCCCTATAAAAATGGGATTGTCTGGAAGCATCAGGGTTCAGTGCAGCAGACTCAGGCATACGATCCATTGAAAGCCCAATTTTCTCCTTGCTCTCAAGGAAATTGAGAGCAATTCCATCGCATTATGGTCAAGAGGAAACAGAGTCAAGCCCAGAGAATGCAAACTGCTCTTCTGAGCAGACAGTAAGTTAAAAAGTGACTTTTCTTCCCATTCTGGGACAATTCTACATCCATAAATACATTTAATGAAGTGATGAAGTAAACCAAGTCACATCTTGGATCCTTTTGTAAGAGCCCTTTAATAACAAGGGTCTGACAGTGATACTCAAATATTTAAGGCTTTACAAGGAAGCAACTCTACCCCCTTAAGGTACAAAATTGGCTCTTAAGCACTCAATGCTATATGTTAGAAATCTGAAATACATAGTCTTGCTAAAAGATGAAAGTTACCTAAATAATTCAGTTTTCTGCATCTTTCTTTCCAAAGTGACTTAGGCACTTCTGGCCAAATGCCACTGAATGTCCAAATACCCCGCAAGAGCCTAGGAGACTTCGCATCATCCCCCAGCCGGCACGTGCAATAAGTTCACTGTTCTCCCCACAGCTTCTGGCCAGCTGGAAGTGTTTTAGCTTTTCATTTTCATGGGTTTATTATAAGAAAGTTGGTTGAAGAGGAAGGTTTTATGTTTGTCTGTGAAGTCGCTGCAATCCACAGCCATGCTGATCTCTCCTAGAAGCCAGATCGACACTCGTGGCTGCCCGCCAAGGAAAATCTGTCTCTAGCGCTCGAAGAATTTCACTCTGGGCTCTAGCGAGGCAGCGTCCTCGATGCCTTAGAGCTCTGTACTCTAGGCTTCTTTGGCTGCCCAGCGAATTATAAATCCGGTGTGTTTAATTACCTCTGCAAGTGCAAACTTCAGCTTCACTGGAGATTTAGAGAAAGGCAGGCAGGAGCCGTGTTGTTGGAGGTACGCAGACTTGCGAAGGATGTGGACGAGGAGGTTCTACTCTCCTGCTCCGCTGTTTGTTTGGTTAACTTTATGGTTGTAACTTAATGGTCATTAGGAACTTGAGCATCAGCTCTTCGAACCCCAGCAGCGAGGTTAGGACAGGCAAGCGCTGTGGCCGAGTGTGGAACAGCTCTTCCGCGTACTGCTTGTCCGATAGCAAACATCTCATGCGTCTTTCCACTGTGTTTGAAAGCCAGTTGTGGTGGTTGTGGGTTCGTGTTGGGCGCCAGTCAGCTGGGTGATGAGAGGTGTCCCTCTGATGCATTCATTTTTCCCTATTACCTCTGATAGAGAAGCTTAAGGAAAGAGCGTTTCCCTCAGGAACGCAACTCCCTTCCATCCCTTCTTTGCGCCCTGTTCTTCCCTTCAGACAGGTTTCTTATCTCTTTTGCATTGTTTGAGTAGTTACTGGAGGGGTTTTTTCATTTAGAAGATGAAATACAAAGTTAGGCAGCAGCTTTCAGCCATGTGAAATGTGCAGCTGTTCTTCTTAATTTCGCCCCATGACTCCTGAACCTCCTGGCCTGTTTTGGTTGGTGGGCTTCAAAGTTATAGCAGCCCTACACATTTTTCTGGAAATAGGAGCCAAGATAGAGGAGAAAAGCTGCAGTGTGAACTCATCCCTTAGACCAAACATTGAGAGAGACGCATGGGGAAACCTCGATTTCTTGCTTCTGTGCTTGGTTTTAAGGAACTACCTGCTCCGTTGTAGGGAGCAGCAAGCTGTGAGGTTACGTATCCACGGATGATGCTGGCATCCGTGGATATCCAGCTTAGCCTCTTGCCAAAACATCAGATGATAAATAAAGTCTTCAAAACTCCATCTGACTTGGTTCTTGGCTGCTTTAAAGGCACATGGAGGCTTGTGCATGGTGAGCCCGTGTCGGGTGAGATGCAGCCCTGTCTCCTACTGCTATTGTGTGGTCTAGGTCTTCCATACCCTGCCCCGGGCATGGTGGCCAGGGGGAAACCCTTGCAAATTTGGGCTGAAGGATCAAGGCCCCACGGGTCTGTGACTTGACAGAACGCTGCAAGGCTTTGGCCACCTCTCTGCTCTGTTAGCTGTGGCAGTTCGGTGGTAGGAAGGTGGAGACAGTCCCTCCAGGAACTCCGAGGCAGCATCCAGGACAGCATGCAGGTTTGTTCCCACCAGCCAGGAAGCTCTGGGTTGTTTATTTTAACTTGTTTTTATATTTCACAGTTAAATGTGGTTTCCCCGCCCTGCAAAGTATCTGAGCAGCAGCGTGAAAACAAGGCACTGGGTGAGCCTTGGAGCTAGTCCTGTGCCTGCGGAGGGGTGGACTACCTTGCGTGTGCAGTGGTGTAAAGAGAGGCTCGTTAGATGTGAAACTGGTTTGGCTTATTTTTCCTCACTTGTTTTGCTGGTAGATGCCATGGAAGTTGAAAATCGTATTAGTGGCAAGATCAAGTAAGTTAAGTGTCTCGGCGAGATGTCTGCTTCTCACATGTACTCGCTTGCGTCTTTGAAGCACGAGTTTCTGTCGTAAGAGGAGTTGCAGACGGAGTAGCTGCCGCGTTAATCACTGGATGCAGTAAGGCAGAGATGAAATGGTGACTCACAGGTTTCGGCTCTTCTTTGACAGTTGCTGTTTTTCATCTCCAAATTGTTCTGTAGGTTGCCATCCCCCACCCCCGG